AAACCCTCCGGAACAACGCTAGAGATCTTCCCGTTGGCTGCAGGACCAATCGATCTTCCCGTAGGCTGCCGGACCTATCGTCCAGGATGCGACGTTTGGCAGGCTCGACACTGGTCAGGTAGCCCATAAGTATCTTCCACTGACCTACATGATCGTGGAAATTATCTATGGGAAACTCAAGGACCAACTGGGCCGTCCTTATATCGGGAGTGCGCAAAGCCCGACTAGAATACCTTTTCGCTGTTGGATCCATTGACAGCCACTGTTTTCGAATGGGGCCACTCAGTGGACGACGATCAACGGGCTCAAGCTCCTTCCGGCCGGCAGGAATACAAGATCAGCGTCTCCGCATGGCTTCTAAATTCCACCTCGGCGGCTTAACTCCTTACAGACCGGGACTATGACTCTCACACTCCTCTCCTGAACGAGGTTCACGCGACCCAGCACAAGGATGGGAGCTATGAGCCGTAATCCCGATGCGGTCAAGGAGGCAGAGGCAGCTGACAGACGAAAGGCGAGACAGCAGCTCACGACGTCCCGCCCAACCCGCACAACCTCCTGGTGGAACAGCAAAAGGTGGCAAGGGTGACAAGTCCTCCAAGGGCAAGTCCAAGGACCAGGCCAAGGCAAGTACTGAAGTTCTGAAGTGGACCGAGTGCATTCACGGAATGCTTCTCACAGGAGAAGGTATCCCTTTGTAGTGTGTGTGTCCATTACTATGAAGATGCTTTGCTCAGGAAAATGTATATACTTCTACAGATATTTGCCCAAAAAACCTATGAGATACTTCTCACAGGAGAAGATATTGCACTTAAGGTCAAGAGTGCGTGTTCTGTTCTTTTCATGAAATTGTCTCCAAGCTGAGGATGTCTAGATTCTCGCAACTCACATCTGTCGCTCATGTTTGACTCCTCTCGTATTTCGCTTGGGCAACAACAAGCAACGTAGAATGTCGACCTCACGGCCATGCAGCTCCACGTGTTTTGAATTTGTGCGTGGTTGAAACACGGAGTGTTACACATCCCGGTGCCTGTCTGCTCCACGTATCACTTGCATGTATCCTTGCCTGTTGCTCAAGGTTTTAGCAGAGTACGATCTACAGCTATGCGCTTGTAGTAAAACAGACTCCTGCGTTGCCTGTGTTCCTGTAAGCTTTGCGAGGGGATACACGCCCAGGTGGGGAGGCGGGGTGGGGAAGGGGGGAGAAAGGGACGAGGCAAGGACAGGAAAGGGGGGGTTAGGGGGCGGATGGGAATAAATAAAATAAACAGTGCAAGACTTAAATCATGAGTGATTTACGTATTAAGTTACTGTAATTATTTTGGAGTGTTTAGCATCAAAATAATTGAATTTTCACATGCGGATCTGCGGGGCTCCATTCTGGAGGTTCAATTAAATCGGGGGTTGATTCAAGTATATATTTTATTTGTTTAATTCTTGCTGGCGAATTCAATAATTAAAACACCTGAAACAATTCAATCAACCCCCGGTTTAATTATGTTAACTATTTAATTCCCCGTGGTTCTGTCTCACATGCTATATGAACACGTACGGCTTCAAAATTATGTTAAATATTTTTGGTGAGCTAAATTTAGATTATTTCAACTATTTCTGGTAAGCTAGACAATTATTATATTTCAAGTCTGATTTAATTGGTTTGATTGTTTTATTCTTAATATTTTCAATCCCCGGCGTCCTGTCCTATAAAGGCTATATGAATAGGGGCGGTTTGCTTATTTAATTTTCGCTATTTTGGGGGAATTAAATATTTCAAATACTTGAATAATTGAATCGGGATCTGCGGGTCTGCATTCCCGGTGGTTCGCCGTTATTTAAGTAGTTATAATACTCAAAAGTTAAGATGATTAAAATATGTAAATCAACCCCCGATTTAATTATTTGAATTCCCCGTGTTCTGTCTTAAATGCTACATGAATACGGCTGGTTGAATTGTTTCAATTATTTTTTGGTGTGGGGGCGGCGGTTGAAGAATGGGATCAACTGCTATCGTGTAAAGACGGGGCGTGGCCTAGGGCTCGGCCTATGCTAGGTCCAGGGCTAGCCTAGGTGTGGGCCCAGGCGTAGGGAGTCGTAGGGAGTCACCCAATGCGGGTGCGGGTTTAGGATATGTGATGAGGGGCACAATTGATCACAATTGTAAGAAATGCGACTAATTGGAATCGCCCGCAGAAGCGCCACATGGAGTGCGGGTTTAAAACGTGTGATCTACCGGGATCGCCAAAGGAGTGGGCGGGTTTCAAGTCTGTGGTCGACCAGGATCGCCAAATGAGAGGGCGCGTTTAGGATGTGTGATGCATCGGAATCGCAAAATGAGGAGGGCGGGACGGGACCAAGTTGCGTGATCAGCCGGGATCGCTAAATGAGGGGGCGGGACCAAGGTATGGGATCAACCGGGATCGCCAAATGCAGGGGTGTTTAAGATATGTGATGAGTCGGTATCGCCAAATGAGGGGGCGCATTTATGAAATGTGATGAACCCGGGACGCCAAATTGAGAAACGTGATCAGCCGACATCGCGAAAGGCGGAGGGCGGGCATGCTTAAGATATATGAGGAACCAAGAAGGCATGTTTAGGATATATGATGAGGGGGTGGGTTTGGAACAAATATGATGTCCGGAATCTGCATGAGGAACCGGAATCGCCAAACGAGGGGTCGCATTTTAGAAATGTGATGAACCGGAGTCGTCAAATGAGGGGGTGAGTTCAGGATATGGTGAACAGGAAACGCAAAATTAGAGGGCATGTTTGGGATATGCGATGAAACCGGAATTGCCGAATGTGTATACGATATATGATGACCCGGAATCGCCGCATCAGGGATGTATCTGAGCTATATATATATATATATACACATGAGACAGGCTCTTTTCGGTCTATTTGACGCCCTATTTAAAGCATTATTCAACCATAGAATTCAAACATTTTGATAAATAAAGAATAAATGATTTAAATCAGCACCCGAAATAACTTTTCAACTGTTCTAATTATTTAGCTCATTGGGCTATGGCTGTTGACCCCGTTCCTTAAGCCTGCTCGAGTGTGGGCACCGAAACCCGTCCTTCACTAGGCGATCGCGGTTGATTCAATTTCTTACCCCTGCTCGTTCATTGGCCCGATGCTGGTTGATCTCATTTCTGGAAGGGTTTGCGTGAATTTTGGTGCTGTGTCAGTGGGGAGCAAAGGGCACGGTAAGGTAGGTTCTTTGTTGTTTCTGTTGTTTCCCACCCTCAGTGTGGGGTTGTTAGATTTTAAAGTCAACTAGTACTCCTCGCCCTCTGAGACTATTTCTGGAGTGCCCAACCCCACAGACTACCGTGAGACTCCCTGGAGTGCCACAGACCACCGAACCCCACAGACTACCGTGAGACTCCCTGGAGTGCCCAACCCCACAGACTTCCGCGAGACTCCCTGGAGTGCCCAACCCCACAGACTACCGTGAGACTGCCTGGAGTGCCCAAACCCACAGACCGTGAGACTCCCTGGAGTGTCCAACCCCACAGACTGCCTGCAACTACCTGGAGTGCCCAACCCCACAGACTCCCGAGACTGCTTGGAGTGCCAGCGCCCAACCCCAATGTCAGTGGTGTGCGTCGAATCAGCTGAATCGGCGCAACCGGCGATTGCGCCGTCACGCGCAACCGGCGTTTTCGCCGTCGCGGCGCAACCGTCCATTTCGCCGTAACGGCGCCATTCGGTATTTTATTTGGTTTTGCTAAATACTACGAGAGACTTTACTATTTTCTATTATATTGTTAGCCTTCTAATCATAATATTAACCGATCTTATCCACAGCTGATTGCGCCGTGACAGCACCATTCTGTATTTTCTTTGGTTTATTATTAGTACTATATACTAAAGAATTTAATATTCATACGATTATTTCCAGTATCCTAATCGCAATATTATCCGCATTATCGCACTATTTCATTCCTATCAGTATAATCATTGTCTGTATCGTGACGGCGCAAACGGCGATTGCGCCGTCATGGCGCAACCGGCCCTTGCGCCGTGACGGCGCCATTCGATATTTTATTTGGTTTATTAAAGCTGCTAAGAAATTTACTATTACCACTATTGTTCGTTGCTATACTAAAGGTATTATGATTTGCTTTTTCCTATTAAATCATTACTATAATTGTAATATAATTATCTGTATCGTGACGGCGCAAACGGCGATTGCGCCGTCACGGCGCAACCGGCGATTGCTCCCGTCACGGCGCCACCGTCGATTGCGCCGTCACGGCGCCATTCGGAGTTTTATTTGGTTTTTGCTTTATACTACTAGAGACTTTACTATTATTACTATAGTATTCTAATCATTATATTGTATTATTTGTTTCTTCCTATTAAAGCATTACTATAATTATAATCCCTAAAATGCCATCCGCTGTATTTTCTTGTCCTTGCCGCGCGTCTTCCGAAGTGAGATTCCGTTGGCCGACATAGTAGTTTGTATAGGTTTGGCAAATGCATTATTTGTAGGGTGGGGATGTTCGAAGTAAACTATGTTTTCTTCCATGCCGAAGGGGGGTTTATGGTACATGAGTCAGGAGTTTTGGTGGGCGAGTCGTGGGACTAAATGGCAGAGCCACTGATTGGCCCTGAAAACAAAAAGGATGCCAGACCTGATGTCTGAAACTATATTGAAATAGTCCGATTATGGAAACGGTAAGTCAGTTCCTCAACACGGAGCCCCTGAATCTTACATGTGCGGCTTTTTGGCCACCAGCCGCTCAACCTGCCACTTCCCCTCGTGCATTCCCAAGATCTATGGGGGGTTCTTCTAACACTCCAGGTCTTTATCAAGAGAGGGACAATCAATCGGAATACACATGAGTACGGTTGTTTACGAGGAGATCCGGGATGAAACGGATGGCTGTTGAGCGGACTGGTATTTCGAACAAGTACGGGTACATGCACCTACGCACAGTACTGCGAGTTGAAGTGTACAGCATGGCAGCCCTCAGAAGAGCCGCAGGTGGACCGAAGCGCCCTGGAGAACGGAACCACCGCCCGAGGCCCCTTGGGTGCTGTTTTGGCTGCGTGTTGCTTCGGGGAGGGTTCGGTACTGGCAACAGTCTCGGCCTTGACGTAGGCTTCGGGGTTGCACGGCAGATGGTTCGTGGTCGCACGCGTATGTTCGTTTGGGGCATGAACTTGATGGGTTCTGAGTCCTAGACGTACGCTTAGATGATACTGTACTGTACCCGTCTTCTGGGCAATGACTGGAAGTTTTGTCTCGATGCTTCTATGTCTAGGTGCGTCGAGCTTGTTGTCTTCAGGATGGCCCCGCGCACAGGATGACACGCACTCTCCGAGAAGTGTACCGTTGAGGCTGTTGTTCCTCGAAAATTTCCAGGAGGCCCGTCGGTGTTCTTTAGAGCTTAAGTCCTAAGATAGGCTACTCTTTATCCGATTGGGTTGGTTGACTCATACTGTAATTTACGTAGGTTATCAGCCGTAACGGCTTTAGTGGGCTAGGCTAGTGCTTTGAGGGCTTTAGTGTGAAGCTGTAGCAGGGCCATGGACCACTTGAGACGTCACAGAAGGAGTGTGGCCGCTGGTGATCCAGAGTTAGGGGCTGCACCCGTTGATCCAGATTATGCAACAGCCTTGAGTCAAGAACCTTCGATACCAGCTGGTGAATCAGTATATGGGGAGGCTTCGCCGGGCACTTTAGAGCAGGGTGGAGTGGTTGTTCCGGAGCCTGTGGCTGTGGAAATGACTGGACCTGTTGCAAGTCCTTTTCATTCTGAGAGGGTGAAAGAGGAAGTGGCTTTGGCGAGAAGCAGACCCCGTACTTTGGATGAGGATGCTCGTAAGATGAGTGAATCCGATGTTGGGCTAGGTGACATAAGTTTTTCCGGAAGGAATGATGAGCCTGCATACTTTGAGGAAGTGCCAGCTCAGTCTATGCAACCGAGGGTTGCTAGGATTGAGCGGGCTGCCGAGGCTAAGACAGAGGCAATGGGTTCTGGACTGGCAGTTACTGCTCAAGTGGGTATGGGAGGGGGCTTTGCACAGCCTGCAAGTTCTTCAGAGGACACTGGGATACCTAGGCAAGGTCCGGCGTCTGACCTGACCGGGGATGATCGCGCAAGCTCTTCTGCCAATAGACTTCCGAGTGCTGTTCAGTCTCCTGAGAAACCTCTTCCTGAAGATACACGTGAGCTTGTTCCTGCAGCTGAGGGTTCGCGTCTTGAAGCGATGCTTTTGCAAGTGATTGAGGAGAACCGGTTGCTTAGAGGAAGGTTAGATCAAGTGGAGCGTTCTAGTTGGCATAGTGGGGGTACTAGGAATACGGGTGATTTGCCTATGGGTTCTCCTGTGTCATTCGCACCACAGTCTGATCTTCCTGTCAGTGCTGGGCACTTGCAGTCAGCTCCGACGGCGCTTGAGCGTTTCGTGACGGAAGGCGATCTCCGACCTCAGATGGGTTACGAAGTAGCTAGGTTTACTGGGATTTCTCCACAGCTGGAAACTGGAACCAGTAGCCGACCGGTGGGTTCACTGGGTCAAGGGCCTGGGTTTGATGCCGGTAGGAATGATAGGGACTGTGGGGCTCCAGGCCTAGGCTTTGGGTGTTCCGGGGTCTCTGGGTTCAGGGAAGACGCACCAGTGCAGAGTTTCAGAGATTTTAAAAGGATGATGGAGATTGAAGGGTGGCGGCAGCAGGCGGATACAGGGTATTTCACTCCTAGTTCGGGTGAGGGTATCGGGGCTAGGGTGTCAGGTGACGGTTACCCTATGTCACCAGGTGGTACGATTATCAGGCCTCCGCCTATCCCGCCGCCGCAATCGTCTAGGGCACCACCTGCTGCACATGTTGTGGCCTCCCCCAGAGCTCCTCCTATGGTGTCACCCATCCCGGCGATGCAGTTTCCTTCAGAGGGTTGTGCTCCAGGGGGCTATGGTTCTAGTATTAGGAGCCGTTACATGCGGTAATTGGTGGGCTCAGATTAAACAGATATTTACCGGTTTGAGCCCGGGGGCTACGGAATGGTTCTCCAGTGTTGAAAGAGCAGCCACAAGGCATTACAACCAATGGTTGATTGCGGACCCGTTGGGGAGGTTGTCCCTGGACCCTGGGGGTGTAGTTACGGACTTTGACAACTATAGGTTTCAGCGGTTGAGTCCAGGGCAGTTTCGTTGCTTCTTGCTGCTATGCCACAGGGTATCAAAGAAGATCTCATCACACAGGTGGCTTACCAGTGCTTCCGTGCTTTTTCGCATATTGTGCATTTATCAGCCGGGAGGCTCTACTGAGAGAGCTCATCTTCTGAGTCAATTGGTTTCCCCCGACGTTGCGCGTACGCATAAGGAGGCGATTGCCAGTCTTAGAAAGTGGACTCAAAACCTTCAAAGGGCGCGTGAAGTTGATGCGTCACTCCCTGACGCGTCCCTGCTGATTAAGGGAATCGACAGCGCTACTAGTACCCTGATCTCTCAGAATCCCATGATTAATTTTAGGATTAGTTCCTTTAGGCATCGGATCGCTCTGGATTATCTGCCTACTCTGGAGGGGATAGTGCAGCTTGTGAGGCTTATCCTTGCTGAATGTGAGTCAGCGTCTTTGGTGGTTGATGGGGCCCCGGATAAGAAGGCTAGGGCTGCTGCTGCACAGGCCGCTCAAGCAGCTCAAGGCTCACAGATTACGGGAGGTGTTTCCGGGTCTGCGGGAAATGAGGCTAAGGCTCAAGGGTCTGGCGGTGGTCAGGCCATGGCGGCGATGGTCAAGGCTCCCGGGGGTGATGCTCAAGGTGGCGGTCAGGCTAAAGGAAAAGGAAAGGGCGGAAAGGGAAACAGTGATAATCCTCCTCCCTGTCACAACTTCTCAAACGCCGTGGGCTGCCGGTACGGGGATACTTGTAGATTCCATCACGATAGGGCGAAGGCTCGTAAGGATAGGCGGTGTCTGTGTTGTGGCCAATCCGGCCATTACAGGCCTGAGTGCACTGTTGTGCCGGCCGAGTTTCGCCAAGGGCAAGGCGAGTCGACCCCAGAGTCTGCGTCTCCGAAGTCCCCAGAGCCAAAGAAACCTGCTGCTAAGGCAAAGCCGAAGGCTGGTCCTCAGGCTAAGGGTGTTTCTGAGGATGCTAGTTCTGTTGGGGCTCAGGCTAGTCAGGGGAATGGCTCTGGGAACCAAGCTGCGTCCAGCCAGCAAGAGCTGTTGGCAGAAGCGCAGAAGCTTCTGAAGGGGATGTCGCTGAAGACGTTGAGCATTCGGGATCCTCTTGAGGCTTTTGGGATAGATAAGACTTGGCTCTTGAGTGCGGTTGTTAGTGCCTCGAACCCGGTGTCAGCTTCTGATATGTCGTATGCCTTGGTTGATAGTGGGGCCACCAATGGATTGAGGGAGGCTCGTCCAGGTGAGTGGGACAGTACTCAGGCGATTCAGGTTGGCCTGGCCTCAGGGGTTGCTGAGCTTCATGTGAATGGTCAAGGGACTTTGTTGAGTCCTTCCAGCTGTCAGGTTATCATACCTGCAGGATGGTTGATTGAGCTAGGGTTCAAGATTTCTTGGAAAAGGAAGGGTTGTAGCATTAAGCATCCTGAGAAAGGGGAGCTTGATGTTAAGGTAGTTAAGGGCTGTCCCCTGATCCCTAAGGAGGAGGGACTTCGGCTTCTGGAGGACTACGAAGGCCTAAGGAGTTCGGAGAGGTTCCTTCGGAAGGTTGAGGCTCGGGGCGAGGACAAGGGTCTTACTCCTGGGTCGGCTCGGGGTTGGCTTAGGGAGGTTCTTAGGACTAAGGGTGTTCAGGGACCTTCTAGGCATGAGCAGGAAGTGTTTCTGAGAGGCATGTTTCCTGAGCTGCCAGAGCGGTATGTCACAAGGGTGAGCGCACCGGCTCTGGACCCGGAGTGCTTTGAGTATGGACCGTTGCCCTGGAACCGTAGATTTCGAAGGTCCATCAGTAGGGCGAAGCCCGGCAGCGTGATGATTCACATGTTTGGTGCGACCAAGTGTTGGAAGGGTTTCGGGAATGTGGTGACGATAGGTAAGTCTTGTCAATCGGATCCAATGTCCCAGCCGGTATTTCAGCAGGTGTTGCGTTGGGCTAGTTCCGGGGTCGTAGGTGGCCTGGTCGGTGCGCTACCTAGGCCTACCTCGTTTTTCGGGTCTGAGTGTCTAAGGGGGAGGTTTGGAACCGAACGTTGGGGAAAGGTTGGCCTTACCGGGGACGAGCAAGATTATGTCGACCAAGAGACTGTTCAGTGGTTCAGGTTCTTCCTGGTTTTTGCGGTGGCGCAAGCTGTGCAAGACCTAAGTTGTGTTGGTTCGGAGATTTCGAAGTGGAAATCCGAAGATGTTCCTCCTGAAGGGGTTAGCGATCCTAAGGAACTAGCTGTATGGGCTTTGAGGCGTGCGGCTGCTAGGTTGAAGAAGGCCAACATTGAGAAGGCTAGGTTGCGATCCACTGTCTTTCTAGCGGCTGAATATCCGAGGGATCCCGCTGAAGGGTTGGGGATTGGAGTGCCTGAGTTGGAGAGCTATTTCTCGTTGTGGTCTTTACCTGAGGTTCGGGACCTGGTTCGTGAATATGGGTTGCGGGAAGCCTCGTTTGACCAAGGAAGGCTAGGTGGTGGTTCTAGGGAGCCTACTTCAGTGATGACTTCGTCTTGGTTCCTCTTTGAGTCTTTGCAGGACTTGTGTGGGGATCCTGAAGTATCAGGGAGCCCTGGCCAGAGGACAGTTGGATGGTCTTCAGGGCTGCTTCGCTTGGTTAAAGGTGCATGGGCTGGCTGGGTTAAGGGTGCTGAGAGTGACGAGGTTGTAGAAGCCCGTCAAGTCATGCTGGCTAAGCTATCTGATGCTGAACGAAAGCGGCTCCACGAGCATAATGATCATATCCCGTTCATGAAGGGTTGTCCTGTATGCATTCAGGCCCAGGGCCGACAGCGTAGTCATTGGAGGTCCTCAGTTACATCTCTATACTCGTTGAGCTGCGACATCGCTGGTCCATTTAAGAAGGGGCAAGGCTGGGATCCAATTGCGTCTGGTCGGGATACTGGCCAT